AGGGAGAATATTCAGTAAGTGTATTTCTTCCCTTCTGCTTTCTGCTGAAATTATTCACTGACCTGAATATGCAGTATTTGCTTTCTTGAGAAAACAGGCTGTTGACATTCCTGGTGTGTCTCTGCATCTAGCAAAACAATATATTGGCAACCATTTTGTATTTCTGTGACTTGAACAGCACTAAAATTGTTATCTGCTTTTATAGAATAAGTCTTGACTGAGGTGCACAGATTTTGTAGGCTTCTACAAAAATTATTTGACTTCTCTGTGAATTGAGCTTCAAATACTGGTTTGGTTGTTGGGTTTCTTTTTTCATTCAGTATGTAACAATAGAATTAAAACACTGTCTTGACTTACCAATTTGAAATCATCTTCTTCTTAGATTTCACAGGTTCTGCATTTGTATGATAACGTAATTCCTTATGAATGCAGTAATTTAGATATGTTCATTTTGGTGGTAAACTTCAGAGTAGTTTATCTTTTCCCTTTCGCAAATATATAAAGATAAATGAAAACCTCTAACAACTTACATTTACAACAAGGAATCTTTGCCAAGACTAGTTTTGTGTAGTCTTGGGTAAAGGCACTTGAGGCTGATGAAAAGATGCTCATTTTCATCACCAGAGCAGGTAACAGTATCAGTACAACTTGTGCTCTTAAAAAGACACTGCATTCTTTTCTTGGTGGTGATTAATTTATGAGCACTAGATGACTGATCCACACATGGTATTCTGACTACCGGTCCCAAGATGAGCAGAGGTAATACAATCTGTTACACTTACATAACTTGATATAAAGAAAAGAAAGAATGCGGCAGGTGGCACACAAAATTTATAAGAAAATGTAGTAAACATCTTCAGTCTGCAATAACACTGTTCATTTCACTGAGTCTCGGTGATCTGACCATCTAGTCTTGCAGAAAGCAGAGTTGTGGTTCAGTGTCCTTCAGACACTTTTCACTGAAAATGTGGATTTTGGCTAGTATCAGTTCTCAGTTAAAAGTCATAATGTTGCCATGGTCTATGGGGAGAGGTATCAGAAGTGTAGATTGTTTCTTTAAGAAAACAAGGTGGCACTCTGTCAGCATTGTTTCTGCAGTAGTAATCCTATTAGTATTTCTGTTTTTCAAATCATAGATATTATTTTTGATAAGTGATTTTATCGGTTTTTTAGTTGAGGACTATTTTTTTCATATTCAGTTATGTATAATGTTTTATATGTGTGTATTGTCACATTTTTCTATCACTTTTTTCATTCATATGCTCAAACACGTATCTACGTACGTGCATACAGTCTCTCATACTGTTCTTATATTGTCTGGAGTTGGTAGTGCCAACTTACATTTTTTCAGCAGGAAATACCTAGAAATGTTGTTATGTGGTTGTACAGAACTTTGCAAGGCTTGACTCATTCAAGGATCAAATTTTTCCATTCAAGGATCAGTTTCATACTGAAACTTTTTTTTTAAGATGATAAAAAGAGTTTGGTTTTCAAAGAAGAACAAGGTTAAAAGAAAATAAAGTGCTCTGTCCAAATTTTAAAAGTTGTCTTGGAGAAGCTCTAATGCATATTCTCAGCCTTAGGGGGTGCAGGATGGAGAAGGAAAGAAGGTTGTTTTGTGTGAGGGAAATTCTTTTGCTGATTCTGTGGGGAACTGCCCATTTCTGACTTCAGTTTTAAACCTTTAGGAGATTGTTTGCGTGGGGTTGACAGAGACTTATTAAAGATTTACCAGTTAAATTCTCTTAGGATTATACCTGTTCTGTGCATATAAGGTCTGTAGAGCTGTACCAAAAGCTGAGAGGGTTTTTTCTCTGTTGCTGTACACTGAGATTGTATTCAAAGCATAAGAAGCATTGAGCCTAAGGTTCTTGGATGGTGTAAACTGGAATGGACAGCTGGCAGGCAGAGGGAGAGAGGGAGGGGGAAAAGATTGGGGTAGAGAGAATAGTTTTGCCTGGCAAGGAAGAGTAAGACTAGATGAGGAGTTTACCGGGCTGCGCCTTGGTGCCTGGGGTGGTAATAACTGAGACTGGCAAGTCCTCTGTTGCCAGCAAGTGTCCATAAAAGCCATTGGCAAAGTCTCAGCCACCCTAGTTGCAAAGGTGCATGAAAGAATACATCCTTTCTCATCCTGCATCCCCTCCTCCTTTCACTATGTGTTTGCCAGCTTCTGCATGAAAGGAGGTCGATATCCTGGTTCTGCAAATAACATTCTTACATTCTGCCCAACTTTGACTAATAGCAGAAGGCTCAGTCTATGCCAAGGGTGCAGCAGGGTGGGAGAGAGCAAGAGGGTTCCTGTGGAAGAACTGAATTTATGATTTCGAAACTCAAGACTCTTGCAACACCTGTGTGTGAGAGGATCCAGTTGTGATTGTTCAGACAATCTTAGCTGCCATTTCTTACAGTGTGAGTGTCAGTCTTTGCAATACTATCAGCCTTATAATTCAGCTTCTGTGTAGTCTGTCTGCAGATAAACATTTGTTCATACATATGCTGTGGTGTATGTACATGTACACATAAATATATCTGTTCCTGTAACTGTGCTTACATGAAAGGTTGTGCTAGTCTGCAGCTAGGAATAAGACTATTTAAAGTTAAAAGCTTAAAAATTTTTATTTTTGTATGTTGCTTTATTCCCCAACATGTTTACAAACTCAATATGCTGGAGTAACTCAAAGATGGGTTGAAATGCATGCTTCAGACATGCAGCAATCTTAGTAAAACCATACTAGTAATTCCAATATTACTACCATGTTTGTCTCTTCGGTTGTCCTTGCCCACCCCACCCATCACACTATTCAAAAAGTGGTAGTAACTTTGCAGGTCGAGTCGTGGGTGCTTAGGAAAGGCTAGAGCACCACCAAAATTTTTTGTGGAAGAATTGTGCGCAGCACATGGTGAAGACTCTCCTCATCTTTGGGGCTAAGGGGGCTGGAGGCAACAGAGTGGAATGTAGTAAAATAGAGGAAGTGATCATCAGGGATCAGCAGCAGGGCTGTGTGGACAGGAGGGGGGAGTGTAAAAGGGGGAGTGTTAGAAGAGAGGAAGCCACTAAAGGGTTCAAAGGAAGAGTGTCACACCCAGGAATATCTTCAAAGAGAATAGACATAACCTAAAAACAGATGGGGTCAAACAGAGGAGGTGGGGTAACCAAGAGAAGTTTCAGTAATCAGAGTGCTGCAAGCTGGCATGATAATTCACAGAGGAAGTGAAAAGTTCTTCCTCAGAAGTATTTTGGAGGGGGTGGTGTTTTTTGGAGGCTTTTTTTTTAAGTAAGCAAGATCCTGAAGACAAATGTTTAATGTCTGAAGGGGGGCAAATTTTAGGAAGGCTTCACTAGGTGGCAACGACAAAAAATGGAGACACAGTTATACCTTCACCTGCTGAAGCTCCACAGTGCCTTTTTGAATCAGTGGTTGCAGTCATTTGCATAAATTCAATAACTGAATCACCCATAATGCTGAATTCAAGGGACTGTTGTAAAGCCCAAGACAAATGGAGTACAGTGGAAGACATCCAGATCTGTTCAAATAATAAGCTTACTCATTTTGTGTAAGAAATGAACTCCAAACCCTCACCCATTCAGAGCACTGCTGGATTTTTCAGAAGAGCTTTTATTGCCATCTACTGGTTTAAATACGGTTTGCTCGACTGCATCACCCTTTCTAAGAACCATTTGGAAGATGTTTGCTTACTGAGAAAATATTTTGAAGAGATTGTTTCAGAATATTCCTTAGGCAAGCTTATCTTTGGCATGATATCAGACGAGTCTGTTTGCAGTTAGTTATGCTGGCATGCCAAGCTTTATGACAGGGGGTTCATTTAAACATCTGGAACCCGACGCACCCATACACACACTCCAGCACGTGCTTCACTTTGCAGGAAATCAGCTCTAGGAACACACACGTAGGGGTTTGTGCGTGTGGTGTGCAGTGGGGATGCGTGCCCGCACTTTGGAAACTCGAGTTGTCATCGTTTCTTTCTGCTTTCAAACTACGTAAAAGTGAGTGGGATTTGAAGAAAAACTTTCTCTTAATTAGTTCTTCAGAATTTCTAACTACTCCAAAGCCCCAAAAAATCAGCAGAGCGCTTGAAACTTGGAGTCTTGATTAAATTAAGTCTGAATCAAGTCATTGACAAGGTGAGACTAGCTTTTTTCATAAATACAGTTAAGAAAATAGAAGGCCCAAGTCTGTGTCTTTCTCAAGCAAGATGTGCATTGAATCCATAATCCTTCAATAAGATCTCTAGGATAATTTCTCTAAATTCCAAAGTTTTCTCAAGCAAGATGTGCATTGAATCCATAATCCCTCTATAAGATCTCTAGGATAATTTCTCTAAATTCCAAAGTTTTTTATATATTTTTCTGTCTATTCAGTATGAAATTCCTAAGAGCTAGGTTTTCAGTTCTTTCCTGGAGGAATCCATGCTGACTGAAAAAGTAATTACCAGGCTGCTGTATAACTCAGATCTGCAGAATGTAAATCTTTCATCAGATGAACTAGATGTTTGTACAAGCAATTCCACACTTCTGCAGATTTGGGGAGCTCAAAATGAGAAAGATCAACAGTGACATTATTCAAATTATTTTAAATCTTTCATCCATTTTGACTGGAAGAAATGAAAAGATGACCTGGCACTGGCAACTGTTTCAGTCAGTACACAGGTGTACTGTGCTTTGCACTCACAAGTACACAAAAAGCTTCTCACACAGTGATGAAATCTGAAGCAATAGCTGTAAAAAAAATATGTAGCAGCATCAGAAGGCTATTTTTTAACTTGGTTTACTGATTTGGAGTTTTAAACTGTGTATCATATGTAAGATGACAGAATTGTGGAGAGTTTTTCTTTTCCCTGCAGCTCTCATGTTCATTCCTGAGACTACCATAGCCTAACCATCCTCCTAGTGGCCACTGTTTGTAGATCTGAGCCAAAGCCTTTGTACTCATTGTCACTCACAGTTCCTGTCTTTTGTCTTTGTTCTTTTCTCACAGCTACAAGCCCCCAGTGTGAAAGGCTTTGATTTTGCTAAGCAGCATCTGGGCCAGCACAATAAAGACGATGTCCTGATTATCCACGAGCCAGCTCCTTTACCAGGACCTATTAAGGATACTACCCCGTCTGAAAATGGAGATGTGCCCAGCCCCAAATCCAAGATTTCCACAAAGCCTTCAAAGACTGTTCGACACAGAGGGAGGTCAGTTCAGAGATAAAACAAATTGTAGTAGACAACAGTTTATTAATGGCTAGTGATTATAGTATTTTTAGGGCAATTTCAGTAGAAATAACTGTTCCAGAGCTCTGAAACTTTGTGTTTTCTAGTGAGCTGTCAGTTATACCTCACTACTCATTCGTACAAGATTGTGAGAATTTAGTGTTCATTTTTCTCTTAAAGGGAACATACCCAGCTAAGAGCAGTATTTAAGACACTGCTGAGTTGACTAGAGTCAAGTCATTGCTTTACTAGAAACATCGTGTATGTTTTCCAGTGCAGTCTCTGATGTGATCTCTAGCTACTAAGACAATGGGTGGTTAACACAAATGAAAGCCATTGACAAATAGTAACGTGTTTCAATAACGTTAATAGTGACCAACACATGTACGAAGAGTTGGGATTTCCAATAATAAGCTATATCTCCAAAATTCAGGGAAGATGCATGAATGTTTTTACTTACGATAATCTGGTTACTCTCATAGCAAACCAGCCTTAGTCAGAAAAAGCAGTGATAATTTTCAGCTGTGCAAGTGGAGAAATGTCTGTTAACCTCAGCACAAATTTGCTAATGTTTTCCAATAATCAAGCGTGTTTTGGTGGAAAGAACTGTGTGGGATACCTGCTGTAACAAAGCTACACAGTAAAGAAGGATCTGTGCACAAAAGAAAAGAGAGAAGTGGGAAGGTAAAAGCTGAGGGAAAAAATGGAACTCTGAGGAGTTGAGCTCCTCTGTGCTCCACTTTCCAGTAATTCTTCTTCCTCTCCCTCACCCTCGTATGTGCACTCCTGTCTTCAGCTCTGCATCCCCTGTGCTTATACCTACATGATGCTTCATGGTGAGAGAAAAAGAAAAGCAATCAATCAAGGGCAGAGTTGAATGAGCTTAGATGGAAACTAATGGTGATTCTAACTGAGCTGTAGATCTCTGTGACACAGCTTGCTCCTCTGTTCAGCCTTCTGTGCTTTCTCTAAAGCCCCAGTTGTCTTAAGATCCTTACTTCATCTTCCCCATATGGGCTTCATAAAGCTCAGTTTCCCCCTTTCCAGATGCTAAGCCTGTCTTCCTAACTCCCTATAGACCTTGTAAGTAGTAGACTACCAGTGGTACAGTGGAATGTGGGCAAAATTGGAAAATAATAGAAGAAAAATGAGCTAACTTGTTTTGGTGTAGCTTACATAAATTAAAACAAAGTAATATAAATCTGAAGGATGGGTGTTTCTGTGTTTCTTTTAAAAAGTTCAATAGTGGCCTAAGAGATGATACCTTGGGAAAGGGAAGATATCTATATTTATATACACATCAGCATAAGATATAAGTTTAAATTTGAGGTTGTTACTATATTTCATCTAGAATAATTCAGAGAATTACGCAGGACAAATTTCAGAAGCCAACATTTTAATGATTCCCCCGAAGATAATAGTGAATCATTGATCAAATTTGGAATAAAGATTTTTTTTTTTTAATAGCATCTAATTAAGTGTCAAATCATAGAATGGTTTGGGTTGGAAGGAACCTTAAAGATCATCTTGTTCCAACCCCCGTGCCACGAGCCTGGACTCATAGCAGAGATGCTCCATCCCTCTGATCATCTTCATGACTGTCCTCTGGACTCACTCCAACAGGTCCATGTCGTCCTGATATTGGGCCCTAGAGCTGGATGCAGTACTCCAGGTGGAGTCTCACGAGAGTGGAGTGAAAGGGCAGAATCCCCTCCCTCAACCTGCTTTTAATGCAGCCCAGGATACATTTGGCTCTCTAGGCTGCAAGTGCACATGGCTGGCTCATGTTGAGCTTCTCATCCACCAATAGCCCCAAGTTCTTTTCCTCAGAGCTGCTCTCAACCCATTCTCCTCCCAGCCTGTGTTTTTGCTTGGGATTGCCCTGAACCAGGTGCAGGACCTTGCACTTGACCTTGTTAAACTTAATGAGTTTCACATGTCCCCACTTCTCAAGCCTGTCAGGGTCCCTCTGGATGGCATCCCTTCCCTCCAGTGTGTTGACCACACCACAGAGCTTGGTGTCGTTAGAGAACTTGCTGAGGATGCACTTGATCCCACTGTCTGTATTGCTGACAAAGATGTTACACAGCACCAATACCAGTATTGACCCCTGAGGAATGGCACGTGTCACTGCTCTCCACTTGGACATTGAGCCATTGACCACAACTCTTCGAGTGTGACCATCCAGTCAATTTCTTACTCACCAAATTTTCTGTTTGTCACATCCACGTATCTCGAATTTAGGGACAAGGATGTCATGTGGGACAGTGTCAAATGCTTTGCACAGGTCCAGGTGGATGTCAGTTGTTCTTCCCTTATCCACCAGTGCCATGACCCCATTGTAGAAGGTCTCAAAATATGTCACACATGATTTGCTCTTAGTGAAACCATGTTGGCTGTCACCAAGTCCCTCCTTATTTTTCATGTGCCTTAGCATAGTTTCCAGGAGAGTCTGCTCCATGGTTTTGCTAGGCACAGAGATGAGTGACTAACTTGTAGTTCAAAAGAGAATTTCCCTCTTCTCCCTCATATTCCCTTAAGAACAAATCTTCCTTTAGACTTAACTATGGAGATGTTACCATCATCTCCCTACCATGCTGACATGCCCATGTCAGCTTGCGATTTAAAACATTTATTCCCCGAGGCAGAAGTTGAAATATGAAATGATATCATACTGTGTTATGTTGGGTTTAGCTGGTTGCTGTTTTGTGAGGAAATACAGAACTCAATTCATCACAGTGCAATTCAGGATTGTCTGTTGCATGCCAGGAAATATAGTGGTGATGTGAGTACATGTTCTGTATCTCTGAAAAACAACAAGCAAGAGCAGCTGAATTCAGAAAGCACAGCATCTCTGGGCTCCAGCTGAGAATTGGACCCATTGTTTTGGCTTGAGAGGATACAACTACATATTCCTCAGCACTTTTAAGGAATGACTGATGTTGATTCAGCACTGTTTATGTTCCTATAACTTAATGATCATTTAGATAGACTGAGGAAAGAGTATGAAGGAACGCAAAGCACAATGAGGTGAAACAAAGTTGGTGGGAAATCTGGAAAGAAGAACTCCAGCCTTATACTCTACTGAACCAAGGCAAAGGTGATGGAGATGATAGCTCTGCACACCTTCCACCTTAGAAAAAGATGCAATGATGCAGGTCTGTAAGCTCACTGAGGACCATTTATCCTCTTTTCCCTGCAATTTTTTTTTTAATTGGGATTTGACATTAGTATTATGATCCTGCAGATCAGTGCATTGTTCTGTGAGGAAAAATAAGGAAGTCAGTTTGGAGCTGGAACATTGCCTGCTGCAAGGAGTAGATTTAACTTGCAATGGACTTGTCAAGCTGGATATAGTTATCTTAGTCTGTGGGCTCTAGGCAGGTTGATGTTTAGCCAAGAGCCTCAGTAACTATTTCAGATATCCATCTAGCCCAAGCAAATCCTGCACTAATGAAGTTAATGCACAGACATGTGCACACTTTCAGTGATTAACTCCCTGCCAGAATAGAATATGAATGTTCATAAGACAAAATGGTCACTAGAGACACTGTCACAAAGGCTGATCCCATATGAAAAGACAGGCTTTGGTGTCAGCTAGGAGGTAATGTGTGCCCTATGTTTTTTTTATTTTTATACTGCTATCTGAATAATTTTACAGTTGAAGTATTTTTTTATTTTTCTGTATCTCCCACAAAAGCTATGAACACTGAGATTGTAATTTTTAGGTAAAAAATGCTTTTGAAGAATCTCATGACTGCATGGGATAAATACATAAAAGAAGCATTTTTGAATGACCCTACATTTGACTAGTCAGGAGAATACTCATGTGGTCTTGTATTGTTGGCAAGACAACACCAAGTTAGCAAGGCTGAATGTTACACTGGTTACCTATATGAGTTTTTTATTCCTAATATAATTTTCTTCTGTCTGAAGAATAAACTATTACTTATGAATGCAGAGGTTTTTTTCTTGTAGTGTATTTTAAAGGAAAGATTACATAACAATATTGTCACATGTGAATCCTGTTGCAGTCAGTTTTCGCACGCAATGACATCATGGCAATGAATATCTGGCTATGATAATGTATTAAGAATTTACTTAAAAACAGAGGAAAAGTTTAGCAGTCTTCACAAGATATTTTAGTGCAGGATTCTTTGAGCGTGAGAATTGTGCCCCTTTGCAGACTTGCAAATATTGTTTTGTTCGTGGCAGAATTTCGCCATCAGATGCTGACTCCACAGCCAGTGAACAATCCAGCGGGAGAGAGACTGGAGAGGAAACTGCAAGACCATCAACTGCAAACGAGGGCAAACCACGCAGAGCAGTGAAGAAAGGTTTGTTACTTTTTTTTTTCCTTGTGTGCACTAGCAGAGCTTTACTCAGGTTGAAGAGTTACTGTGGTGCTGTAACTTTCGTAAATTCATCTTTGGTTGTTGATTTTTCTGGATTTTGTCGCAGAAAATCCTTTCCTTTTTGATTTAGTTTTTTTCCGGTGAAACTGAAGAGCTACACATTCCTTTGATTCCAGCAAGCTTTTGAAACTAATGGCTTAGCAGGAATGGATCTTCCCTCCTTTTGTCCCGAACACACCCCTGGCAGAACTCTTTCCATTTAGGCCCAATTGGGGCTTGTGGTACCGGAATTGCAGGCAGTTACTTGGGCAGTAGAGGTCACAGCAGGACTTTATACTGTGTGGGTGTGTGTCTTTAACTGTAACTTTGAAAAAGTGAGATTAAAAAAAAAAAGAGATCAGAGAGGTAAAAATTTTACAAATAAGTTCTAATTCAGACATCAAAATGCCTGCATGATTGTGTTTTCAGAAGATGAAAATCCACTGCTAATATGTTAATAACAGTGGTATTTTTTTGTAAAGAACTATCTTCCTTCCAGTTAAAATGCCATTTGTCTTGGAGGTACCCTAAAATATATTTCTTTTCTCATTGAAAAGTTGATAAAACAGTGAAAATGCACTTTCATTTTTTTTTAACTAAAACATTCTTTTAAATTCTTTTCTGGTTTAAAAGTGTGTGGTTAACTATGCTTACACAAACATGTAAGTGTTTTTTGTGAGAGCCTTTTGGTTTAGATGGCTTGTTCCTTGTTTGTGGTTTTAGTTACCAGATCTTTGCCTTAAATCACAGTAGTCTTCCTAGAGCAAATTCTGACTGTCTGGTAAAGGAGTTTGTGATATCCTCATCAGTTTTTAATACACATGGCCTTGATGGCAACAGAAAATTAGGAGAAGACGAAAATATTGACCACATTGTGAGCAGTCTCTTTGGTATATTGAGTGTTTTTCCACACCCTCTGTGAAATACCAGCTGAGATGTAAAGATGACTTCTGAGGAATGCAGTGCCAGTGAAATTAAGGTCATAGCAGACAATAGATATTCAGTTTTTCTTTATGTTGCAGAAATGAGGACTATGTAAGATAGTTTATTATATAAACAGCTAGCTTTTGGGTGGCTAAACAACAGCTTAAATGATGTGTGATTCTTAAACTTTTGTAATGTGGACTACTCCTGGAAGAGCAGGGGTTGATGGATCAGGCTTTCCTATGTAATGAATAGGTAAGAAAACAAAGCACAGGATCTGCTGATGTGACTAAAAAGTTAAACTTTCTAATAATTCAGCAGGCAGCATATGCTCTATATACTTTACAGAATTTACAAAGGAAGATACTGTCTTGATGCTACATGTTTTCAATGCCTTGGGTTTGCTCTAAGGACCAGAAATCATGCCCAAGTGAAAACATATAGAAAACAATTATGCTATGACAGAACTCAGAATGGTTTGAGTTGCTCCAATCTATCTGACTTCAATTCCATTGCTCTGATTTAGTGTTCTCCCATTTCTTCTGACGTGGGAACTACATTTTCGTCTCTTCATTTTCTGTGTGGCTTAAAACTTTAAGGTTTAGCATTTTGATTCGGTGTAGAAATGTTAGGTGTTGCTGCATCTGAATTACCTGATAAAGGCGGCAAGGATACTGTGTAAATTGTGTTCTTTCTACTCATCATGTGCTTACTGGATCAAATGCACTATTTTTGCAGCATTTGGTGCCTCTAGTTTGGTAATCATAGGGACTATTTTTAGCATTCAGAATTGCAGGCACTGTCTGGAGAGAGCTCTCTGTTAAATTGGGAGATTCAGCTCCCTTTTTGTGCAGCTGAGGCTTGGCAGTTTGATCCAAGTTCATGAATTTCATTCAAAAGTAAATGCAATCATCTTGCTGCTGTGGTTTTTTTCCAGTTGCCATTTCAGCTGAATTATTTGTCATAATTACTGTGTTGTCTCTTCTTTTTCCTTTATGTTGTCAGGAGCAAACAGAGTGGGTAAGTAACCAGAGCTGGTAGTTGATTACAAATATGAATAGAGGTGCTGGGGTAGCTGCTATTATATCTTAAGGATGGCAGGGTTTGTCTTCTGAGTCTAAAAAACCAAAATTGCTTTTGAGCTGTGGAACTATAAAAAAAAAATCTCAGTGACACAAATTATAGTCATCTGGCACATTTTTCTAATTTCCTCCCAATTTTTTCAAATTATTGAGGAAAACATGACTGTGAAAGAAGCAAAACTAAGGCAGCTGTTGGGTCTGAAACTAGCTTTGTACAAGCAAGTTAGAGGTATTGTTAGAAGTTAATTTCTTTACTGGAAACCCAAGGCAAACCCAAGCTACCTGCAAAAAAACATAAAATATTTTCTCCTGAACTAGTGTTTTCCTGACCAGGAGTGAGACATAGCAAACACAGGGCAGGGGAAAGCTGACACTGTCTTTAATAATACATAACATATCTAATGATAAAATAAGGACTGTGTCCTCTGACAGCAGTGTCCATCTTACAATGGTAGAGAAGGATGGATAGAATGGTTATGATGCATTCCATTGTTGGGTTTAATGAGTCATCAGCTGCATCCTAGGGACATAACCTACTGGAATACAAAGAAACGGTATGAAATGTATCTGAAACTGCATACTCTGGCTGATTCAGATACCAGTGGATCAGAGGAAGAATCCCATTGACTTAATCTGATTTTGGATGAGGCCTTATGCCTTTTGGTTGCCATGTCTCTTGTTTTTATTTCAAGAGGGTGCAGGAAGCAGTAAGCTTCCTCTATCTTTGACTGTATTGGTTTTCATATGAAATCGTAGCTTCCTGCAGAGCAATTAATCTCCCTGGCATTTCAATTCAATTAGTAGTACAACTCAGGGAACAGTGATGAACATTGATCCTGACATGTGACCTATATGGACTACTTGCTTAAATGTGTTCTGCCCAGTATTGGGGTATTAATTCCTCTCCATTATTTTTTAGCCTCAGGTGACTAGTCTGAGATCAAATTTTCTTTCATGTAGTGCCATCTGATAGCTTTATAAGGAAGATTTTCTAAGCATGGACAATAGTGTAATATAAGAACTTCGAAATGAGGAATTATTCTCTCTGTCAAAACTTTTTGCTTATTTATGTGTTGAGTTAGAAACCATTTCTTGTTTTGCTATATGTATACAGTGCTGTGCAGTTCCTGACTTTATCTACTTTACTGTACTTTGTATTTACAGACACATTCAGTGTATGCACACACAGGAGATTTAAAGGTCAGATGCAGCTTATGAGGGTTTTGTGTGTATGTGTATCTTTTCTGCAAAAGGGAGTTACATACACTGTTACTGTAAAGCCTTACCAAAATTTGTCAGTGGGACTTTTGGACAGTTTTACAAAATGAGTATAAGCCTGTTTCGGCTAAGAGGCCTCTGCCAAGCACTTGTTTGTGTGTGTAAAAGGGGAGGTTATGGATGAAATTATAAAGAGTCAGAGTGAATGCTTAGTGTAATTGAATATGTTGGACCTTGCTAACCAAGTAATATGAAAATAACCTTAAAATTTTATGTTGGAGGTCAGTGAGCTTGAGAATGGCTGTTAGAGTGAAAAGGTTGGAAAAAAATTACTAATGTGTGGTGGGGAAAATGGGAAAGATGGATGCAGAAGGTCAGATTTCTATTGACTACACAATTGCTCTGAGGGATTCACACTAACTACTTAATATATCTTGTGTCCCTCTCTGTGAGAGGCAATGCTTGCACACTTCTGAGAAATGCATGAAGATTGGGCTTTAAAGATGACAAATGGTAAAGATGATATAAATAGCTATAGAAGAGAGATGGATATATTTCATTTAGTCTCAGTGTCTTGCAGAACATTTGGGACACAGAGGTCTTGAAAGGAACTGTTTACCTTCTTTTTAATGACACGTACAGAAAAGTCACATTTATAAATGTGGATACCATTTATAAATGGGTACATTTGACAATCCATTGATCAACTTTGAGAAATATGAAGAATAAGAATTTTGCTCAATTTGTGGCCGGATTGCTTTCCAGCCCAAAAGTAATGTGCTGTGAATATAATAAAGTGTACCATTCCTTCCTTCTCCTGCTCCCTTTTTGTGCTAGAAGAGGGAAGCAAAGGAGCAAGTAATCTACTGTGATCTTCTACAGAAGATAGCATTCACTCCTCTTCTGAACCCTATCCTGCATTACCAGCACATGTTGCAAATGGATCAGAGCAGTGACTATTTTATTTTCCTGCTTTTGTCTGTTGTAGTTGGATAGTGTTGAGCAACAACTGATTCTGTATCACAATCAAGTGAGATTTACCTCCTGATTTGAATCTTAAGAACCCTTATTGTCTGTGCAAGGATGTGGGATTATGTCCCTCCACACTGCTGTGTTCCTCCTTAAGGAGAGTGACAAATCTTGATCTCACAGCTTGTATTTCATGGTGAAAAGCAGTTTGAAAATTTGTGGCTTTACCATGTGGACAAGACAAAAGGTTCCTTTGCAAACTTTGAACAGCTTTTGCAAGCCTCATCTGCGTAACAGTTCCTGGTTTAGGTCTAGCTTGAAAAAAATAATCAAATCTGTGCTTAACGGCAAACCATTGGGGTGATCCTACAGATTTCAAGTCTTTTGAAAGAGATGACCTGTTTCTATTGAAGTGATTAACTGTTGGCAGGACCTGGGCTGCAACTTCCATGCATATTAGTTTCTGTCGTTTGCTGATCGTATTTGAGTTGGTTTAACCTTTCCAACAAATTACAAGGCAATATTTGTGCAGCTTGCTTATTACAATCTGAACTATTTATCCTGTCACAGAGAAAAAGACTACTTTTAAAAGCTTTATTCAGTAAACCGTTCATAAAATTCTTTGTGGTTTGTGTGGACTTCTAAGAGGTTTTTTTGTTTAGTTCCTATATCACTCCTATCACTTAAGAAATACATTTTGCATTGAGACATCTTTCATTGCTCTTTGAACCTCCATTTGAGCAATTTGCATCTCCTTAAGTACTGATAAGAGGAACCATTAGCAGTATGTACTTGAACAGCTTTTTATGAAGTAAAGTAGATTGAGATTTTGGGGGTTTGCAAATGCCAAGAGCTTGATTTACAGAAATAAAGAATGACAGCTCACCTTCTGGAAATATAATGGAAAAATGTTTATCATTTGCAAACCACAGGGTAAACTTGTTGTACACTAAATGTGAATCAGCTGGAAGGCCTGTAGGGCAAATTAAACACAGATGGAAAACATGGCATAGTCTTGTAGCGCAGCATCTGTAGAGCTTAAAATGTGACTGAGATAACCCTGGCAGTACTGCTTTACTCTCTGTTGGTTCTGGTGATTTAGGACCCCCTCAGACCAGCAGTGGAAATGAACAGCACTCCTCAGCCTCCATCTTTGAACATGTGGACAGGATGTCTCGCTCCTCAGATGCCAGCAGACGGGTCCCAAGCAAGATCCAGCTGATTGCTATGCAACCGATGGCAGCACCTCCGGTTCAGAACTCAGTGCTTTCTGATCGAGTGGCAGAGACCAACAAAATTAATAAAGAGGTAAAGTGCTTTGAATGTTTTTGGAGGACTGTATGCCCAGCCAAGAGAGAAGTGAAAAGTATGCAGTTTCTTGTTATCAGGAGTTCCTCGTTAGTTCCTGAGGAGTGAAATCATGACAAGTTACAGGAATAATCCCGTTTCAGTCCAGAGGAAGAATCTGACCTGTTTTTAAGAGGTATCTAAACCAAAAATTAAACAATGGGAGAGGAGCAAATTTGATGGTTGGGATACCTCATGTCAGCATCCTTTTGCTATTCATCAGGACATGATTGAATTAGAGTTGTGTTAATTAATGTGTGAGAATTGGAACACGTTGCCCACCTTGGTTTTCATTTTACATTATTCACTTGAATTTTCAGCAACTCAGGATGTGGATTATACAAAGAACTTATCTCAAAATATTCTGGGGTGTGAGTTTGCAGCACATTCATTGCTTTCAACTTCAGATGTGTTTATCTGACAGTAAGCATACAGAAACTTCCTGCTTTCTCTGAGGCCTCACATTACTGTAAGCAGAATATATGCATGGCTGGGGCATGAGGAGGAAAGGTGGTGCACTATAAAAGTGATACACTGCCTGACACTACCACATACCAGCATCTTGGTTTTGTATTGAGTACAAGATGATACCTTCTCGTAATTCAGAGTGGAAGATTACTACAACCTGTAACTTAACTTTAAGATTCTGTGTTTCTGAGTACCCTGTGGAAGAGAGGTAAACACATATATCTAGGATACACAGGCAAGAGGAGCCACAGAAAAGAAATCTCATTATATGGGCAGAAGACACATAATTCTAACTATAAATGTAAATAGTAAGTCTGACTTGTGTCCATTATATGCTTTTTAGGGATTTTCATGAAAGAATACACAAAAATCAATTTTTATCTCCTTTTTAATTCAGCAAATTAAATGCAGATGTATTCCAGGACTAGTCCAGCACAGGCAAGAGCAGTTGTTGCTACCTGTTCTGGTGCTCAAGTGTTTTCCAGTGATAAGAATGATTTCAGTGAATGTTGGGCCAGGACTTACAAAATGTGGTGTTACAATAGCTTTTCCCAGATAATGAGATGCACTGCAGGAAATTTGAAAAAGTGTGGGAGAGAGGCATGAAACCTCAGCATGCAATAAGATGTAGAGCTGATAGTGACATGTTCATCCAGGGACCTGGGCCCTTCTGTTGCTGCTACATTCCTGCATAGCTTATGGTGACCTCTCATGCTCAGCAGAGGCACTGAGTTATGAGCTCAGTTAGCTCCTTAAGTTCTTGCTTCATAGGTGATGAAGGTCATTAAAGGGAGTGGGTGACAGATTTCATCACTATTGATCAAATGTATCTCTGTTGGACAAGCAAAGCTGACTACAGTCTGGTTAGTCTTATTTTTTCAGAGCAGTGTCACTTCTGGCAGACAGCAGGAGTTTTTTGTGTTCCTCCGACCTTTTGTTAACAAACTGCAACCTCCTTCTAATTGCACCTGCTGTGCTGGCAGTCGTGTTGTGTATAATAGTACATCTACCTGGGGAGACAATGAGGATACTGAAAAATACCCGAGAAAGAAAGTGTGTTTGTTAATTGTGTGACTTATTTTAGTCCTTCAGAGATTTGGGGGAGGGAGGGGGTGAAGGAGGGAGAGGCAGACAGAGAGGTGGGGAGGAGAGGGTTGTGGAAGAGCAGCAAAATCCAGTTTGCAAAATATCCAAGTGAAAAACGCGATTCTTTTTCTTCCCCCCCCCTTCCTTTCCTCCTTTAAGATACAGACAGCCCTGAGGCACAAATCTGAGATTGAGCATCACCGCAATAAGATTCGCCTTCGCGCCAAGCGTAAAGGGCACTATGAATTTCCAGTGGTGGACGACGTGGTGGTGGTTGACTCCAAAGAACAGCACAGAATATATCGCAAGGCACAGATGCAGATTGACAAGATCTTGGACCCTGGAGGCAGTGTGCCTACAGTCTTCATAGAGCCCAGGAAGAGGTATGGATTTCAGAGATGGAAAGAGCAATTTTCTTTTAGAGTCAGCGCCCAAAGTACATCAAAACTGTACTTCTTAACTTTCAGAGCTTAAAATCATTTTGATCACTGGTTGAATTTGAGTTATCTAGGTGAGAAGGATTGGATTGTTCTAAGCATTTTGATTTATTTCACTATATGCCAGTATGTTTTGTTTTCACATTATTCTTTAACAAGTTCTCAGCAATGAATTCTTGATAAATAAGCCCAAATGTATGGAAACTGTCTTAAAACAATTTAGTATTTGCTCAGCCATTTGTTTGAATAATTCTTGTGTGGTGTAGAGGGATCAAAATTACAATATCAGCACTAAAAAAGATACATAGAAAACATAACCTGCAAGTAATAATATTTTTATAAAGGGAGAGGAAAATAAGCAAAATAAGAAAAACCTTGAACAACCTAAAAAGCATGAAGATTTTGAATGTTAAAAGCAAATTCACAAATCAATGAGATTACCCAGAGGGAATACATAAAAGATTATGAGGCACATTTGTCAACCTCACAGATCTGCCTTCCTGGCATTGTATTTTCAGAGGAAGTTTTCCCTGGCTTCTGTTTAGGGCTTATGAATACCAGCACTTTGTTTCTGGAGCACTAGTACCCTGCGACTGGTTCTGCACTGATAGAAAGTAGCTTTTCTCCAGCTGTGCGTGTTCCTCAGCTGGTTTGCCTGGTGGGGTTAAACCCAACGTGCCAAGCACAAAGCCGCCTTGGCAGTGTGTTCTGTTCTGCTACTGCAGATGTGTCATTGGTCTGGGAGACCTGGAGAGGCACTGTCAGGGGGAACTGGAGCACAGGCAACTTTGACAGATGAATATAGAAGGGAGGTGACACTAGAAAGAATTTGAGGGAGAAATGGGACATTTTGGAGAGTTGCCAAGGAAAGTGTTGTTAGGAGAGCTCAAGGAGAGAGATTTGAGGCTACCTAATGGAACTGGCATGAAAAACTGGGAAAGGAAAGAGAAACAGGGCTGAGGCAAGGATGACTTGGAGGAAATGGACAGAGGAGTTCAAGCTTGAATGGGATGAGAATAAAAATTGCAAAAAGAAATGTGATTACCTTTCTCTTTCTCTCTCTACTTTTTCTTTTCTTCCCCTTAAGTTCTCGTGCAAAACGTTCTCCCAAGCAGCGCCGGCGACATCAGATAAATGGGAGTCCGATTGATGCCGAAAAGGACAGGTTAATCACAACTGACAGTGATGGGACATACAAAAGGCCTCCAGGAGTCAATAATTCTGCATATATTGTATGTATGTCTGTGATGGCAAGAATGTTCTGGTAATCATAATGATGGTTGTGACATTGGGAGGGTTTTGGCCTTCTGACTATGGTCTATATGGCTAGTTTCAGTCACGTGTAGTTAGCATGTAAATCAAAGTGAAATAAAGATTTAATTGACAGTTTGTCACTATTAAGCAGTAAAATTCTGCCAAGTATTCCTTGATATTAGAAGCCAAGAAGCAAAGCCTTGTTTGCATTAATGCCACTGGGTTATGCACATGAAAGTGTGCTTGGCGTGTTCCATAATATCTTGAACATAGTTTCACTCTAGTCCAATTTGCTGGATGTTATATATTCATATGTTACAGAAAATTTCACCCTTTGCTCTCACAGAATGGAAGACTCAGTTCATTTTGTGAGAAATTTTCTCATCTTTAAAATGTGGGAATTAATTATTAATGAAAAAGAAACATGTCTTTGTACTACAGTAGCTTGAAACAATTCTAATGCAATGTCTTGAAAATTAATTTTGTTTCCTGTCTAAAAAAAGCAGACCCTGGAGAATACTTCTGTTCAATCATATCCATGTCACAAACTGTATTTAGGCATCTTTAACCACTTCTAAGCAGACTTCACTAAGCCTAATGCTAATATTGGAAACCCCTGGACAGTTTTCATCTTGAAAGATGGTTTAAAGATTTTAAGAATTTCACCATTAGCTGCATATGCAGTCAGGTGACTACAATGTCGATTTCTGCAGTTTCCTTCTGCCTTCAAACATGAGTGTGATGATTTTAATGTCATGCTGCAGCAGAATGAATTATCATCTGAAGCTGTTTAATTAAGACATGTCACACAGCAGGCTCAGCCCCTTTGGCATCTGTAGCGAGACAGTGCTCAGAATGCTAAGTTCCGAATAAAGTAGAGGCTTGTGCCTCTTGACAACTGATTTTGCAGTCTGTATGCAGTGGTAAGAATGAGCTTGGATAATAAGTCTGCTGCTGCAAAGCTCTTTTAATTTCCTCTTGCTGATGAACAATAAGCCCATGTGGTAAGATCCCAGGTAGTAATTATGATGCATGCCTCAGGCATTGCTGCTATGAAGCACTTACATGAATCCCATTCAGGTGATGCACCCAAGTTCAAGTTCCATGCAGGTAACCACTTAGATCCTTAACAGCTTCCTTTGTGTGTTTTTCTAGGAGGTAATAATTGTTTAATGTTATTGCTGATGTGGTCAGTTATAAGCTAAAGACTGAATTAATTTCTTGGAACTGCAAAAGCTGCAAAGAAGTCAAAGATGTAGATGGAGCTGATTGTCTTTTTCTGGGTGGAGAAGTGCGTGATTTCACTATGTGCTTGCAAACCACAAGATTTCTATAGCTGAGTAACTCCTGCACAAAGCTCTGCTGCCTTATCTGAGATCAATGTCTTTCAAATCACACTGAATGAAGTATTTGAACAGCTGGTGTTATGTATGTGCATGCATATATGCATGCAGAATTGAGAAGGGTAAGGGGCAGGTGTTGTCCAGCACCAGCACTTGTGCCATTTGTCCCATTGTGGTTCTGGCAAAGACAATGTTGCTCAGACTTAAGGCTCACAGGGGCTTGGAAGCTGGCTGTTAAATCTTCCCTTCCCTAGCTGCCCTTCACCTTCTTTCTGTTTCCTCCAGTCTGATCCAGACTTGCCTCCTGAACCTCAGACATCATCTTCAGCCGATCTGGGGAAGTTCCCTGGCTTGCCCTCCCACCCGGTGTCGCAGTACGTGCCCCCGCAGCCGTCCATTGAAGAGGCTCGGCAGACCATGCACTCGCTGCTGGATGACGCCTTTGCGCTGGTGGCTCCCAGCAGCCAAGCTGCCAATTCCACAGCTGTGGCACCGCCCGGGGTCTCTGCAGGACAGCCGGTAAACAGCACTCCTGCTCGAGCAGGGAGGGGAACCACATGCCCCCAGTGGGGATCACCTTATGGCCCAACTCAGGCAGTAAACAACCCATTTAACGTGAGTGATGCAAGTTAAAGGGCTTTTCTGGGCAGGTAGTTAGCAAGTTAGCACTGGTTGAGCCACGGTCACTGTTACTGTGCCCTTGCTGTCAGGACTTGCCACAAATGTGGGACAGTTCCCGGAACCAGGAGAATTCAGAAAGGACCATCACAAGATGTTGAATTTGCTTTTAAACTATTTGGATTCTTTCCCCATCTCAACCACAAGAAAATATAGGAGTTCTCCTTTAGGATAACTTTTCTGTTCTTCTCAGTTAGGATCTTTCACCGATCAGTCTTGCCATGTCCAAGAGTAAGACTTGATTTGTTTTAAATATATGTGGTAACTTGACAACGAAAAAAAAGAAACATTTGACCTGGGTCATGTTTGTCATCAGGGTATCCAAATGCTTTCAAGAGGTGAGGGATAGGGAAGCAGTATTTCTGTGTATGACGTTTTGCATTTAATGGAGCACTGAAACACACGGATAATCCTTTAGGTCATCTCGAGTTCTGTTGAGTCTGAGCCCTGTGGTCTCTCTGCTGCAGTCTTAAGCTGGTTGAGGTTCTAATGAGATTTCCAAATGCAAAGCTTGGTTTGCTGAAAGTTTTCAGCTAAGCAGACATTGGAGCAGCCCTTGATCTTCTGCACATGAGAGAAAGCGTTTCTGGGCAGTTTTTAAGTTAAGACTTGCATTAGAGAGTAACCTGCTGTCGCAGTGATTCCCAGATCTTCTTGTACTTCTGTGTGTGTATAACCGAGCTCTTATGGCTACCATCAAGTCACACATAGAGGCCTAGAGATCTCTGCCATTCATCTCTTAAAAGGCTGACAGTGGGCTTCCCAGGGTAAGCATTTTGATTTTAATTTGGTTTTTTTTGGTTTTTTTTCATTCTTCTGACAGAGATATATGGAATTTGGAATGACTCCGCCAACAGCACCAGGTCTCCTACCAAGGTAGCTTTTCACTGATAAAATTATAATTTATTATTGTCCTTGCAATTATTCCAGATTTCTTACTGTCACTGGCATATTATTATGCAAAGTACTGTATAAATGAGAAGTAACAAGAGTCCAGATCCAGTCTTTGTAATTTATTTATGTAGCATGAATGACATATGCGTGTGGTATGGAATGTGTTTAACAGAAATGTGTTTCTAGCCCCTTGGCTATAGAGATATCCTTCCAAATATTCAGTAAACCACTGAGTTTCAGGTTTTGGAGAGCCTGAAACTGTTACTCAGATGCATGTAATTCTCCCAATGCTCTGACTTTCATCTTGTTTCTGTATCCTCAGGGCAACACTCACTCGCAAAAGCTTTCATATGACTAACAGATTCATTCTATTTTTAACCAAGTTGAGAACAAATGACAGAGCACAGTGACCCTCATAGAAAAAGCCTGCCTGGCTATTATTATAAAATCAGGGAAAGAACAATTTTTCCATCCTCTCCTGCCCTTGCTATGGGAGAATTGTGTAAAGAGAAGAAAATGGTTGTCCAGGTGACTGCTAATTTCCCAGTTGATGTCTGTGTTTTGTCTACATGTCAAGGTGAACCTTGAGTCATGGTACCCACTGTGTTCAGACTTGTCTCACCCCCTCTAAGCCGCTGCAGCCAAGGTGGTGAAATGGTGGCCTTGTGCTGCTCTCTCATTACCTTCTTACGGCTCACCATATGAGATGAAACCCTGCTGGTATCCATGGCATTCATTAGAATTCACCTGAAGTATTCACTGCCTTGGAAACTTGATGGTAAAATGGATATGAAGAACTTTATTTGTTGTTCTGCAACCTGATTTTGAAAGGACCAAGTAGAAAAGGAGGAGTTTCCAAGCATGTTTTCTTACCTAGGTCTTGTCTGGAGGTGGCAGTTTCAGTGTGAGTGTACATGAAGTGGAACACAGTATGACATGTGGTGTATTTTTGGTAATTTAGGTTACCTTGAACATTATGGGCTTTGAGACTGCCAATACAAAGCATAACCAGTGATTTGTTATTGAGGATTTGCTCTTTGTCGACCTGTTACACATTCAGGGAAAATGTGTTAAATTAACCATGAAAGTGCTGTAGCCCATATTAGTACACCTGAGCAGGATAGTGGTTTTGCAACATATTTTCTGTTTAAAAATTTATCACCTTTTGACACAGGCACTCTGAATTTATGTAAGTCACAAATTAATTGCATCATGATTAAAAGTTTAAATACTGCCTTTGCCAGTGCAGACAGATTAAGTTAACAATCTGCAAGGTCATTGACCTTAACAGAAAGAGTTCCTTTAAATTTTCATTAAAATAGAAAGTTTCCTAAAGCTTGGTCGATAGAAAACAAGGAAAGAGTTGTCATGGTTGTGCAATGGGAGGTATTCTCAAATTCTGAAGATAATGATGAACAAATTGATAGAACCAGTTCACCAATTAGAGGAAGGAAAAATAACCTGAGGTCAGTGTGACTAGGTGGTATCAGTGTCATAGTCCATTGGCTTAAATATGCAGTGCATGGAATAATAGTTGAGTGAGCGTACTGTTCTCTTCTCTATAAGAATGCAGTCAGCATCTTTAATGGTGTAGAACCAACCTGGGGCAAAAAATTAAATGTAAAAGACCTAGGTCACATAACAGCTAGGCAAACATAAAGGCACAGTGAACAGTTTTTGCCAGAAAAAGGATAGTGCATCATGCAACAGAGATAGAGCTACTTAGCCATAGTGGATTAGTGGTGTAAAATTGATTTTTGGGATGGTATCTCCCCAGTTAATTAAATGACTGGAGATTAATTTTCTTCTTTTGAATGTGCAAAAGTCGAAAGCTGGATATAGGAAGGAGCACTAGAAAGCCTGTATGATATAGATGCAGAGCTGTATCCCGGTTTAATACTCCTCTGTTGATCTCTGACTTTAAAGAGAAGCTATATCTATCTATTATAAACAAGGTTGAGAAGAGAGGGTAAAGGGTTATTAAATGTGTACCTTTCAAGTACAAACACATCAGCAATAAAGGATATACTTCCTGTCCTCTGAAAAGTTAGCACAATAATAATACATTTGCAGTGATCTTGAAAAAATATTTTCTTTAGAAAACATCAGAAAGTTGTAGCAATTCATGAGCTTCAAAATTCCAGCTCAACACTTCAGGCATAAAAAGCCAGATGATCACATCCTTTACTGATTGCAGTGATTAACATAACAGAAGTGATATTGTTAAACATTACCTACCCATTGAAGCATTTATTTTAACTGGTTTGTAGGTGTAGTTGGAAATGGTTTCCTTTGCATCTGCTGAGTGGACAGGTGGAATTGTATGTAAGGGAGCTGGGGAAATTCTAGCACTTCCACAGCAAGACTGTTACAACTTGAAGGTCTTATACCTCCTCCATTTAGTAATACTGTATGCCAAGTACCTGGAGGTGCTTTAATAGGCTCTTATTTGGCTTTGTTAGTCAGTTTATTATTACGTCAACTTTCTTTTCTCTCTGGCTGTCATACAAAGGTGGGTAATTTTCCAAATAAAGCACAAATCAAGAATAGTTTGAGTTAGATGCAGTCACAGGATTTTCCTGTAAAACAAAGGGATGTAAAATTGAGGTCTTGAGGAATAGGATACATTGCAGTCCATAACCATAGATGGGGTTAGATGCCATTGTGGTAAAAGGCATATAAAAGTCATCCCCAGTCCTCACTTTTTGTGATTTCATGTGCCTGAGTTGGGATGTTTGTCTCACTTTGCTTCATTTATACTCACCAGTGAGAGGCTCCTGCAGAAAGCGGTTTAAGGTAATCTTTTGCTTTGGATGCCTCTTGAGAAGTGCCTCTGATCATACCTGGAGGCTGAGGCGAGCCTAGTAACCTAAGCACCTGAAATTTGGGCATCCACACTTCCACTATATTGATAGGAATTGATAACCCCTGAAAAGTCAACTACCATCAGTCCTTTAAAATACAATCTCGCCGTGGCAGGGTTAACGTATGTTAATAGGAAGCATAAGAAAAGCAGCATTTCCATCTCCCTCTCTGTCCCTGTTCAGTGAATTAATTATAGGGTTTCTTTTACAAGTGCACTTACCTTGGCACAATTAGTGAAGTTAGATTGATTACAGTTTCTGTTGTTAACTCTTTCAGTAAATATATAACAGTGACTACCAGCACCAGCCTGATTTATAGGAAGCATTAACTTTAGTATACATTACTCTTCATATGTGCTAATTACAGTTTTGAGTATTTTGATGAATCTTCAAGAGCAAAAAATTTGAAAACTTCCTGGAAAATTATCAGAATGCTTGATGAAGTAATAATTGTTTGTGAAATACACATGTAATGCACTTTGTATGGTTTTAGACCAAAACTGTGTGCCCAGAAAATCTAGAGTAGTCAGCTTTCTTGCTGAGGTAAGCAGCTACATCACTACTCTTATCCTATTTTTCTGTTTTTGAAGATCCTTTTTTCCTTAAGGGGAAAACAAGATCTCAAGATCTGTGGACTTTTTCCCTTGCTTTGAGGAGACTGCAACATGTGAAAAACACTTGTGTAAACTTCTGTTATACTATTCCTGTGCAGTTCAGATCATGGAGGAGGATTATGCTCTTCGGGTGTAAATATTTTCCTGAACATTTAAGGTTATCATGTACAGTAAAAGGCCTCGTAAAGAGCTGTTGTATGAGGTACGCCTACATTATTGTTTCTGGTTAGGGAATTCACTTATTTTAATCTTGACTCCATTTCCACAGGCAGAACTTTGGGCCAGGTTTCCTTCAACCTGCGGAGTTAATGCACCCTGAGCAGCCGCCACCTGAGGTTCCGTATTCCTCCAGAGGGATGTACTCAGAGGAAATGCCGTCAGTGGCACGGCCACGGCCCGTTGGAAGCACTGCAGGTACACTTCACTTGAGTTGAATGTGCACTAAAATAACTGATCCCTTTCTGTACCTACCCTTTTGCCAAGGTCACCATTAAGACGTCATTCTCCTCCAGCTGCTACACATGATGTGTGGTCCTTGCCTTCATTGCCCAAAAAAAAAAAATCATCACGAAATGAGGTTAACTTTACATCCACAGGACCTTGCAGAAAAAGGCAGTGCTTTGCCACCGTTTTAATATCTTACAGGCACTGGTTATCACAAAGCATATTTTCACAAAACCTCATTCTCTAAGAATGGAAAATTACTTGTTTTAGGGAGTACAGTGTGTGCTAACTTTCCACTGCCAGCTACTTCTTTTTTGCTAAACAAACCAATTGATGCATCCCAAATCAGCATGCTAAATAGCAAAATTTGTTTAATACTTTCCTACGTGTTTCTCATTTCTTTTCCTAGAATTGTATGCATAAAAGCAGGATCCTTTAGTTTGTGATTATACTATCTATTGCTGCTGTCCCATAGGAAATCACCTTCCCTGATTTGGTTGTGAGATAATTTCCATAGCACTCATCAATGCTATCATGAATAAGATGCTAACATCATATGGCAATTAAGCAGCAAACACTGATTCTAAGAATAAAAGATTGTATTGTTATGCAAATGTCACAGTTAATTTTCTCCCAGATAAATATTTTCTTCCTGGAGAATTGAAAAAGATTGGAAATACGATCATATACTCATGTCAGAAGCCTAGTTTTGATAGTTCCTCTCCCTGTAAATGTTAAAAGAATGAGAATGGTAGGAATATAGTAACTATTACAGTTTAATTATGGTTATTTTATTCACTGATTCACACTATTATCTAAATGTTCATATCTATTCTGCTTTAAAGCTTGGAGGTAATTCATATATTTAGTTTCTGTTCTTCAGCATAATTATGTGTGAATATCAAACTTGTCAAATATTGGGGGTTTTTAAGAGGAAAATATGAAAGTGATCTAACTGTCCATCACTTAAATCACACTGTTGTTTTTGTCTTTTCCTTCCTTTTTGTACATACACACAGTTTTATGTATCTCTGGGTTAAATGTGTTTCATTTCTAAGGAATAATAAAATATTATTTTAATAATTATAATAGTAAAAAAAAATTACGTTTCTCTGTGGGAAAATTCAGGAAGAAGGAAAACTGGCATGTCTCTTGAAATTAATGGTGGCGGCTATCCTTTGCATGTGTTTGAAAGCAGCAGGAGGGGAGGGAAGGGAAGGAAAAGGAGAAAGGAGGAGGTTAGCTTTCAGACTGAAAGGAGATACAGCGTGTTCTGACCTTCCCGTTAGTTAATGACAGCGTCGTTTAATATTTAACCACAAAGCAAAGCTCAAAGAACCACAGTCTTACATAGACATGTATTTTATTCTTCTGAGGGATGGAACAGAAGGCAGAGAGTTAGGGTCCTGCTAGTGTGATGCAAGTAAGGTGTGCCACAGGAGCAAATGTCTTCTCTTTGCTGCTAAGTAATTTACATGAAAGCATTGCCAGAGCTTTTAGTAAACGCTGTTTGGAAAGGGCTGGGATGTCTGAGATGCACATATCTCAACCTGATCTTTCAGTGCAGTGAAATGAAATGCATCACACTCAAATGAACTGCACAAAATGCACATAACTTTTCCTTCTTTGTTCTACACTGACAGCCTTCTTTCTGCTGATTTTTATTAATTGCACAGAAACAGAGCTTCATTTTCTTCTTGTTTCCTGCTTCCAACAAAGTTTTATGTTGTCATTTGTCTGCCCTGCAAACTTGACTGTGTATAAAGATGAAAAAAACAATATTTGCTTTTAAGGTTCTCAGATACAGCACCTCACTCAGGTGGGAATTGCTAGCAGGATCGGAGGTCAACAAGTGGAGATCCCCTCAGGCAGAGCAGGGCATGGCCAGCCGGGGGGGCCAGGGTGGCCCCAGTACCGTGGAGAGGATGAATGTGCTAGGCGAGATGCAGTGAGTACTGTGTTACACATTTGCATAGTTTCCAAAGTAGTGATATGTTTGGGTATTTTTTCCTGCATTACTGTTTGGAACTTTTTACCCCTGGAATACTTTCAGTTGCTTCTCTGACATTCTTTGCTTTGCTCTTCGAACCCTTGTTAGTTATTCCAACTTCTGCTTGCTGTTCTTTCACCTTTGCTTCTCTCTAACTGCTTTCTCTCATTTTACCCTAACCTTTTTTTTTCTCACTTGAGGCCTTCACCCATTAATTGCAGTTCATCCAGTTCTGCTTCTGAGCTCCAGCAGAGGTGGATACTGCTTTCCATTTCTTCTTTGAAATATGCCTCTGTATTTTGAGATCATTGTAAGTAGAAAACATTGAATTAAATTGTCCCAGACTACCATCCTACTTTGTATGGGTGTATTTCTTTTGTCTTCTGTATTGGTGAACAACAGCAGGAGTCAGGGCAAAAGAATAAGCTGCATAGTTGCATGTAACATTAGAGGTGTTTCTGAACAAGTTATTTTCCTAGCCTCAGTCAGCAGGATGTGGTAAATTAATATGTATTCATTTACCAGTGTTGCCTAGGCAGCCATGCTGATTCCATGTTCTTGGCGGTGGTGCTTCTAGAGGTTGACATTTCTGATTCAACCAGATATGTGAGGTTGAAGATAGTATATGGCCTTTCCAGGAGAGAGACAGTTGCCTGCTTCCAGTCCTTCTTTGGTGTACTTGCATCCTGAAGCAGACTGACCTGTGACAGCTCTATCGTAGTACTCTAGAGAGCGACAGCTTTATGCTTCTTTTGCTTCTTTGTTTAAACAATCTTTTTCTGATTTTTTCCTCGAGGGAGGAAGGCAGGTTCTCCTCCTTTTGCATGCTTAGAGCAGTGTGTGTTCACACTACTTGAATTTGCTATGCAGTACTGCATGATCTTGAAAGAGCTTTGCAGAAAGGAAGTGCAGCAGGATGGCCTTATTTTGAGATTTTGGTGGAATTGAGCTGGAGAGGAGCAGCATAAAGCTTTTGAGAACTAGGTGCACTAGAAACAAACTCTATTGGTACTATTCAAAAACTTTATCTGTCAAAGATGAAAGGTGTATTTTTTTCTAATTTAATGTGCTCTCTCTGTGCTTGAAACTGTAGTATTTCAATGCAAGATCATCACAATTTCATTTTACATAGAAAAGAGCACTTGCACGGGAGATCTTAGTGTCTCCTGTTCCATTTTCAGAGACATCTCTGGGTTACCATTCATTGACCCTTCTTAACACTTGTCTCTCTTTTCTGAAGGTGACTTTTCTAAATCTGTGGACCTGTCCCTTCTGCCTCTCAAGTGCATATTCGACTGTTACTTTCTTAATGTTTTATTACATGAATTGCAAACTTATTACTGAAAGTTCAGGTGGACCCATTATATGAGATCTTATACAAAGAGTTACCTGCACAGCTTTCAAAAATTCACGGCCCAATGCAATCTGATTTGGTTGCAGTTTGCACCTTCAGTCACAGTTTCAGGTGTGTTCAGGTCATTTCAGTCCAGGTTGACTTTCTTTTAGTTCATCTGAGGCAAATGCCTCAGCTTTGACAGAACTTTTTGCTCACTGGTTGCTGCAGTTCATATATTACTGCAATGTGAATTTTTTTTCAGTTATTAAAAAAAAAAAAGCAAAAGGAGGAGATCATGGACTAAAACTTATCTGACTCATATCATTCAGTTGTAGGAGAGCTCACCTATTTCCCACACTTTCCTTTTCCTATGAACAGTATTTTCTTTTTTTTGCAAAGGATTCTTCCCATTAAAAAAAAATGCCTTAGTCTTGTAGCTTTCTGTATTTAAATAATTACCTTCAGAGTTTGGATATTTTCACTAGGACAGAGCTCTGAATTTATCTTTCCTCCTTTTGGAAATGAGGCTTTACTTAATAACAGTCATGTTCCTTATGGTGCACTATTCAACTGATCCTTTGCAAACAGTCTTACTGTTCCCTCATTCTGAGCAAGTTTCTAAAATTAAACTCTGCATTTAGGAAGATTAGAATCTAGATCATTCTTCTCACACTCAAACCGGAGAAGGATCTGCATTTGTACCTCCCAACCCAAAGCCAGTGTGCAGGGTACCATCCATTCACCTTAATTCTCCATCTAGGAGACCTAGGCAACCAGGAGAATTACAGGATTTCCTTAGCTGACACAAAATACAATACTGAGCAAGTGCTCATTTGAGCAGCAGAACAAACAAAGCTTGGTTTCTTACAGGTGGGTGGAGTGTCTTGCATATCTCTACCTCCCTACCACCACCTGGCATCATCTCCTACCCATCTACAGTCCCTTATAGGTCTCCGTTTTCTCCCAAGTCTTCTCCAGGTTTGCAGTGTTTCCCCAAAGCTACTCTTACCCTTTCACTCTATTTTTCTACTCCAGCTGCCCACTGTAGTGTGTCTAAACAATCTGACCATTCTTAAAGCTGTCTGTCATGTACCCCAGGTGGCCCCTGTGAGATATGTGCTGCCTGACAGGTCTACATGAGCACAGCCTAACTTGACCTTTCTGCCACTCAGAAGCAGATTCAGTGATAGCACAGATCGGGTTATGTCTAATTAGCTACCTGGTTTTGTGAATTTTATATATCTGTTCATATATATATATATACACACATATGTCTGTGTATATATTTATACATCCAGTTCAGTTGAAATTGGCCAGAGTACAACAGGTACTAAATGAGGATTAATAAATTTACAATGTGATCTCATAAATCTTCATTTTTTAAGAAGGAAGATTCAGTAAATATGGCTTTGTCAATTTTTTTGTACTGCTGTTAATTATGCAAAAGTTTCTAGATAAAAATCTAAAATTTATGAATACGATATAAAACTATATATTTTTACATATATAATATACCAATGTGTATTTCTGTTAGTAAAGAAATTTAAAAGTAGAAAAAACCAGCAAACTGAAAAAACATGTCAGTGGTTTTGGTCTCCTTATTTTGCTGTTGTAGTTTAGTAGACGTTAGGTTTCTAAACCAATGTGGTATTGAAAGTTGTCAGGCCTGTTTAATTCTGATGTTATATGGGAAATCACAGAAACACATACTTTTCTTTTTCTTAGATTTTTAAGAAAACCTTGATAACCTTAACGTAAAAGACAGCCACTGAGGTCATCAGATGTTCTTTCTAACTCCTCTTCTAATACCCCTGTAACCATTCTTATGGTAGTAATGCAATGCAGTGTGAGGTAGGAGCTGAATCATGTAATGCATTTGAATGTGAAATAACAGGAATATAATTTAGGATGCTGTTAAGACTCATGTATCAGGGAATGTTTGCTTTTAATATTTTCTTATGTCATCTCTTCTCTATAAACCCACAGAGTACTTGTCAGGTTTGCCAACTCTAGGCTGCACATACGAATTAGTTTCAGGTTTCACTGCCAAATGAATAACTCTGAACAATCAAGAGACCCATTCATTTCCTTCTGATACTGAAATCACTTCTCTTTTGTAAGATATAAGACAGGATGTTACTTGGAAAACCTTTACCTGTCATTCTTCTATTAAAGACTCTTTTCTTCCTAATCTGTCTCCCCAAATTAACTGTGTAAATGATGAGTGCTGTACGTGAGCTGTGCAAGAGAGTCAAAAATCTATTATTAGTTCTACTTCATAAAAAATGGCTTAAATTCTATTCTATGATATTATGAGAGATGTTAAGGAACTTACTCCTGCCCATTTTTGTGTTCCCTGCACACTGCTGCCAAACTCGCTCTAGGTCCCCCATATCCTTCCCGGGCTCTGCTTTGTAATCCCTTCATTCCCCTCCCCCTCACTCCCAAATCCCCTACTAGCTGACCTTGCTGTCCTTTCTTCCCCCATCAGGTTGCTCTCTCTGCTACTACTTAAGGCTTATCTACAGAGAAAGGTAGTGCTCACTGAATTGTGATGACTGTGATCTGAATTTGCTGCAGGTGGCTGCTCCCCATCCCCAGTGCAGACCCTCTGAAAGGGGATTACACTGCTTTGCTCCCAATTGTGTGTTCGAGTCCTTTGTGTCCAGTGTTTTCTTCTGGCTGTCTCTCAGCCTTCAGCAGTATGAGGCAAGGGGGAACACTTGCTTCTGGGGTGTCAGCTGGAATTTAGATTTTCAAAATGTACATTGTTTGTGTCCGTACTGGGAGTTGGTGCAGTCACCCAGTGTACTGTAAATTCATGCTTTGTTTTAGCATAAGCAGATTTTCTTCCAGATAGAGGAGCCATAAACTCAGGCTTCTGTTTTGTTTCTCTCTTGTTTTTTAAAAAAAATACATGTTACTGAACAAATGCAGAATTAACCCCTTTCTACCCTGAAACAGTGATTGTCCCTAAACTGGGATAGTGTTTCTCAGATATGTAAAACAGATGTTGAGAATGAAAAATTTAATCTTTCAAATCTGAGTAATTTTCTCCTTCTGCTTCTTCTGTTGACTGTGTTTTCCTGGGCACTGGTCAGTCAGTCACAGGGTCCACAAAAAGTGTACGGTCTGAACAGGCAAGCCAGGCAGAGAAAGGGAAGGTCAAACTAGTAGCATCTGTGCTTATAAATAGTATGGAGATATGACAACCAGGAAGACAGTGATTTGCCTGTTGTCTTTTAGGAAGTTGATAGAGATGGAAGGAAAGAGAAGCCAATTCTGTTGACTTCCAGTTCTGTGGGTTTTCTCCCCACCTCCTTCCACTTCAGTTTCTAAACATACCAGAGATTGGAAAGGTGGTCAAGGCTTTTTAATGGATACTGAGAGAGATTTTGAAAATCACTGGACTTGAGGCAGTCCAACAATTTTGTGTACACTTGTTGTTTTGTGCTTCGTAAGAGGAATCACTCATTCATATAGCAGAAGAACAGTTGCAGCAGATAGAAGCATCTCCATGTTGCTTTCCCCTCTGTTCTTCGCCTTTTTGCTTTCTTGTCTTTTCTGGGATAATCATGTTTTTTCAGAAAGTACAGTAATGCTTTCTACCTTTTTCCAGACGCATATGCATGGACACCAAGAATATTCCTCCTCACCAGTATTCCAGATGCCGAGGACTTCAGCCAGACAGCCCTCAGCACCTCCTGCTCAGCTTCCACACAACAGCCTTCAGGGCCAGGGCCTTTGCTACACCACCAGTTCCACTGAGGACCTCCAGCCAGGTCACTCATCAGCCTCTCTTATCAAAGCAATTAGAGAAGAACTTCTGCGACTTTCTCAGAAACAGACAACAGTGCAGAACTTCCATAGCTGATTTAGCATTCCGTTGCAAATCTGCCAGGTATCTGCTTCCTATGGAAGCAAACACTTATTGGAAATCAGCAATGTTATTCTCTCAAAGGAAGGAACTTTTACAGCTCTGTTGACAACACTCTGGAAAAACTGAAGAAGACAGCAAAATGAGGATAGTAAGGAGAGAGAGATGGGGGACAAACAGGGAAAATCATCAGTGTCATCACAAGTAATATTAATTAATCTACTAATATTACGATGCTCCTTCTCTCTCCTTACCCTCGTTCAACCTAACATATAAATAAAACCTTAGGTCAAGAACTCAATACTCCAGCAACAAAACAAAAAAAAGACAGGAACAAACTCCAAGTATGATGGACTCCTTTTTCTAAGGAAGTAGGTGATGTTTTGAATAAACTGAGATGACATTTTGCAAGAGATTACAAGTATTCTTATCTCTCCAGTGCTTATGGGGAACTGGTTTGCATTGCTGTTCTGCAGGATTACAAACTGTATCAGCTCAAGGGTCTTGAAGGTCCAATCCAACATAAGAATCACTTTGGTTGTCAGGAACAATGGGACTGCTTAGAATAAAAGTCTTTTTTTGAGTTACTTGTATCAAACTGGAACAATAATTGTTATAGCTCTGTGGTTCCGAATGGAGCTACCCTCTGCACTCTTCCTTGTTTTCCTTCTGGTGCTGAAGCTTCAAGTGTTCCTTCATCTTCAATGTTTGCAAAGTGAAACATTGGCCTTGTATAACTAAGAAAATATCTGTAGACTCATTCAGGCTGGAAAAAGAAAACAAAGCATCCAAACAGAAAGGGCTTGGTATCTAATTTGTTTAAAAATTATTGAAAACTGGAAGAGGAATACTCAGCCACAGTTGAATTTGGGGAAATGTGTGTGTATATCTTTAAAAAATATATTTACATGCTAAATGCTCTGGCAAGACCAGTGATAAAATATTGCCACTCTGTAGTTTGCTTTGTGGACAGAAACCAATCCAGCCTGACTGGTACAGGGTCACCAGCATTACATTATAAATTGATGTCCTAAATCATTGCTGATGTTTGGATCTGAATAATTTTAGTGGAAGTCAGTGACAGTTTAGAGCATTAACATAGGCTTAGATTTGCAGTTTTGAGACAGTTTCTATATTTATACTTGTTTCCACTGTCCCTTTGGACAAAAGGTGAGCATTATCCCCATGGTAAAAATGGTACGTGCCATGGAACTGTTTGTCGCTGTTTTTTCAGAGTTTTAATTTAATATTAGCTACAAATTTACTAATATTGACCATTGCATAACTGTAACTGACATAATACATACAGAAATTTTACTTAAGTTACGATTTGTTGGAGTGTGTTCATTTTCAGATCAAACTGAACTAAAGTTAACAACCTGGCGCAGAGACAGAGTTACCCTCTGTCAGTGTTTGTGAGGATTTTTGGGAGCCGTACCCTAGAAGAATGAAAAGCAAAACTGTTATGTGCTACAGTGCAGGTATTTCAAATAATATCAGGTTATAGTCATAAAAGGTCTGAGGAACAGAGGTCTGCCAGAGAGAACATTGGGCAGTTGCTCTGGGTAGGGGCTGCGTTTGCCTCACTCACTGGGGTAGAAATGGCACTGGTAAAATACAGGTGTGTAACACTGGTGTGGTATGGTGGTCTTGGGCTGCCAAATCTGTTCCTGGTTCCAGTGCACAGTTCAGTAGCTGTGACAGGACTAACTCAGGCTGGAATGAGAACAGGTAGGAGGACACTGTGGAAGAAACCAACTACATACATTATTCATGAAGCTGGTACACCAAACTCATTGCTGAAGCCAAAACCTCAGTCGCTCACTGATGTGGAAAAAAAATGTGGTATGTTTCCCTCTTTACTAGGAAGAACAGTTATTTTTCTGTTTACTTATGATCGTCAAAATGCTGTATGAAATTGTTTTGAGCGGCTTAGTGCAGTGAAGCAGTCTAAATTAGTTTCCAGTTCCTTGGTCAATGTGTAAAGCCCTCACGGGCACCGGTTGAGGTGTGAATGGGATCAGAACACCAGCATGGTTGTGAACAGCAGTACCAACAGGTTATTATGATTTAAATTTTTAAAGCTTTTTTGTGTGATAATCAACTCTAGGGTAAAAATAAACATTTGTTTTCTGCCAAGTTTGTAAACATGGATATTGCCAATAATTCTGCAAAATGTCAGGTTTTGAAGAATGAAGAGTGTATCAGGCAATGTTCATTTGGTCTTTTTGACAGTGCTGAAGACTGACTTTTCCTAAGGGTTCCCATTAAAATCATGTGTGTCCAAGCCCACTTTCTTCTCCAGCTTAATTCTGCAGTGAGCTGAGACACCAGTGCTTATAATATTAACATATTACCATGGCTTCATTTCAAGAAAATGTGGGCTTCTAAAAAAAAAATTAATTTTCTGGTTTCAGCTATTTAAGAAGGACTGTGAAATAAGAGTTTTGAAATTTAGAGGTACTTAAGCCACTTCTTATTCATTTTTTGCTAGTGGTGGTGATGCTATTGTGAAATTCCATCTTTTTATATATGGATGAAGATCCTTTCTCTTTTCAGTCTCAAATCTTATGAAAAGCACAGGACACGGGACAAATATATACTGATAAATAAAAGAGGCTTCCTGATACAAAAATCCCTCTTTAAAACCTTGGGCAGGACAGTAAAATATAAGAAGTCGGAAAGCTGTGTTTGGAAGTTATGTTCTCAAATTGACTGGACACCTGATCCAGTGGTATGGCATAGTCTGTATCTTCATATAATAAGAAAAGTAGCACCAGTTCCAAGAATGGTCTTAACAAGGGAGACCCACACTTTACTTTCTGTAGCTACAAGAAAAGCTGGGGCTTTTTCCATGCGCTAAGAAAAAAGGATTCTGTGGAATGCATGTGCCAAAATGTGTGTTTCCACTTGGATATTCGGGGGAAAAAATCTGTAAGCTTCTATATCCCCATGGATTTGGGCTCTTTTGCCAGTTCTTTTTATTACCCTGTTAAAAGGGAGGAAAATAAAACCCAAACAAACCTTTTTTTCCTGAAACTTAAAGTATCCTGAATTTAAGTATCTGTTAATGAATTTACCAGTTTCTGAAAACACTGATCGAATGAGAAGTTGGTACAGGCACAGAAAGCTGTTACCAACAGTTGCATCCATTTCCATGACTAAACCATCTGGTTCATGGAATCCTCAGGCTCTTCCCTTTCTCCACAGTTTTCCTTGACATTTGTGTTTTGTCTGTGTTTAGTTTGGCACGTAGAAGAAGTTGGCAAGATGAGAGCTACATAATTTAGCTTGGTTGGTTTCCTTTCCGTGGCCAAGATGTTGACCCCTAGCCTGCTTCTTGATTATTTTTGGAGCTAAGTGAAATGTTACGGTTATTTTTCATACACTGAATTTGAAAGGTGGGGCACACTTCAGTACTATAAAATATTCCCTACCAGGATGTAACACATGGTCCTACCAGTGACTGTGGGCATGTAACTGAGGAAAGAAAACCTTGGTTTTTGGAGGAGTGAATTGCGTAGGTACTGGACTCATAATGTTAATTATGCACACTTTGGAACAGCAAGTGGAATTTGACTGACCCTTTGCAATGTACTGTCCTTGCAGTGGTTTGGAACAGGCTTATATAGTGGTTTGGGAGCAGCAGCATCACACAAGGTCTGCCTATCCCCTCTGCACCCAAAGAAGTGTTGGCTACCCCAATATCGTGCACCTTTATGGACACATATATACAAAGATTGATCATCCAAAAGTGCATGTTCCCAGTAAATGCTGAAGCCAGTGCCTTTAAATTAGACTATGGACAGCAGGGTTACAGCATTATCTTAGAAAGAGGTTGTGTACAGGGATGGTAACTTCCCAAGAACCAAAACAGCTGATGCTGTTGTGTGTTAACTCATGGCTTGAAAACACATTTGATGGATTACACAAGGAAGCTGGTGTGTATTCAGGCTCAAGTAAAGTCACCAATTGTGTGATGTGGATGGCAGAAGCAGCTGAACTGATTTTTTTTTTTAAGTTTTGCCCTCACTACATTCCTCCCTTTTCCAACTTCAATAGTTTTTAGCGCAAGGAAAAAATGAGCGTTTTCCTTTCCATGCCTTATCAAGCAGCTCTTTGTTAAAAGGTGCCGGTCCTTGAAAATACCCTATTTTGGCCAAGAGCTTTGAAGTGGCAGGACGAAGAACATTTGTGACTTTGAGGTAGGAGCATGTTGTGGGCCGTATTTTTGCAGACAAAAAAAAAATGGATTTTTTAAATAATAACACCTGGTTTGGTGTACTCTGAATATGGACAGAGCTGGAAATGGATTAAAAGTTTAAAAGAAAAAGAGTGACATGCGATTGTCAGAAGGCAAAGGACAGCAACGAGGTCTCCAGGACCACCTGTAAAGTGCACTAAAAAGAGAGAGAAAAAGTCTTAGGGAGCCCACCTGCCCCCACTCAAGCTGAGACCATAACACAGCCCCTCTTTGCAGTCCTTCAGCACTCGCAGTTCTGGTTTGTACAAAAGTGAGGAACATCTCTCATCAGTGAGACTCCCACAAGCAGTTCGCCAAGGCTGTAGAGTTTCTCCAGGGCTGTTTAGATGTGCATAGAGAAAAGCAGCAGCTTTGAATTGCTTGAATGTGGAAATACAAATCCACTTCCCTTTTGTGGACGGCATCTTTTTCTCTTCCTGTCAGACTTGTATTTAAAAACTGAGGAGATACAATGGGGATGTATTCTGCTGTCATCAGTCTGCTGCCATTCACGTGTTCAACTATCTGTAGGGCCTAAATACTGAGGAAGCAGAAATTGGGAATGCAAGTTTTGGAATGCTTGTGACGATTCACTCTAGTTTTGAAGTATTTTGGTGTGAGTGCACTTGAGTGCAGTGTGTCTCTTATAGCGAGTGTCTCTCAAAATGGAGCTTATGTCAGAGGGAGGACTGTAAAATTTTACTTCTGTCTCTGATACTTGAGGGCAGAACACACTTGGCTTGTGACAGCTCCTACCAATAGGATTGGTAGTTCAGATCCAAATGTTGCTCTGCATGTTGCCCCTGGCTGCATCTGCATGTCTTGCGCTGAAAACCATTTAGTCACATGTGTTCTTTGGAACGAGAATTTATCCTACAGATTCTTTAGTGGAGTTTGGGATGCAGCTGGCAAGATGTGTCTAGCTTTGATGTACAAGTTCCTGGGTGAATTTACTCACCCAGAGTAAGAAACTTGAGAAGCAAAAATCCTGTGGAGTTGCACTGCCTTTTTAAAGAGACTTTTCCGGAGTAGAGCTGCAGTCTCATGAATTCCACAGAAGACTGATAAATTAAAAAAAGTTACATTAGTACTAGAAAACATACACATTTCTTTGCACTTCATAGTTTGTAGAAATAGAATGTTTTGTCTTGATTTTGTGTTACTTTTTCTTGATACCTTTTATAATATCAAATACGTATATTTTCTTTGTAGTGGCCACTCCTGTTTAGTTTTGAGTAGTTCTTACTCCATAACTGGAAGTTTGTGTTTAGGCTGTTACATCTTGCCTTAATTGGAATAAAATGTTGGCACATTTGAACAAATGCTCTGAAGAATCTTTTGAAACAAATGCTAAACCTCCATGGATCCCTGACATGGTTTTCAGGTTCACTTGCAGAAATCCTTTTATTGCCATTTGTAGAGCAGGTGAAATGAAATGAGAACTAAGAGAGTAGAAAAGAGACTGAAAGATGACAATTATTGTTTGCAATTTCCAGATGCATTCTAACGTACACACTTAAGAGCTCTGTAGTGTTCCCATAAAAAATTCTCAAATATTTCCGTCCCAAGGCTTCTTGGAAGTTGCTTTCCTCATCCAGGCTATTGGAAGGTTTTAGTGCTGTGCATGATTTAAAAGCAGTAGCTGCATATTGTTTGCGTTTTAGGAAAAACTACTTTTTATATTCAAGGAGAATTAATGTGGTGTTATATTTGGCAGTGCACTGTGCTCTTTTGGTCCCAAAACACACATCTAAAAGGAACTTGAGTAAAGAAATAAAAAGTTAAAAAATACTGCAATAATAAAAAATCAGAAAGCTTTTATCCTTGGTTGTTGGACTTGAGGAAACAGGAGAAAGAGAATTTTTGATTAGCCACTGTTAGTAGTAATTCAACATAGTCACTAAATATGAAATTGTTCAGATTCAGTGCAGTACAAGTACAAACTTGTGAACTGATTACTGGATTTGTTGGTTCATGCAATCCTGGATAAAATGGTTTCAGGTAAGTTGGTTTATATTTTGCATGGAACACTTCTGTCAAGCTTTTCCATGGATGAGTTTAATCCTTAGGTTAGTTTCTGTCT